ATTGTGGTTTTGATTTTATTTCCCACATGACATTGAACATCTTTTGTTAACCATTTTTATACTTCTTTGGTGAGATAAATAGCATAAATATTGAAGGTGTTTGCCCAGTTTTTGATGGAGTTGTTGGGTTTTTGTTAAGTTATAAGAGTTCTTTATATATTTTAGAGATTACAGGTATGTATTTGGATATTAAATCCTTATCAGATATAGGATAGCCCCAAAATTTTCTCCCATTCTGAAGGTTATCCTTTACTATGTGAATTAGTCTGGGTATACTAGAGAAACAAAATTTATAGACACTCATATTTTATAAGAGAGAGTTTTACATAAAGGGTAAGTGTACATTAGGAAAGCATCCCAATCCAGTTCAGTGCAAGCCCATAAGTCCGAGATTAGCCCCAATGCCCAACACTGATCTACAAAGTCCTCCTCAAACTCACAAAGCACATGCAATGAAGCTGAATGCAGGAGGCAAGCTGAATCAGTGAGCGTGTAAGCATCTGAGTACTGGCAAGGGTCTCCATGCGGCTTCTCCAGCACCCAGGGTTGCATCAGGGTAGGTCCTTGTAGCTTCTCCTCAGGATGTCTTGCAGGAAGTGAGCCTTGCCAGCTAAGGCAGAGAACTAGCTAAGGCAACCGCAACTGGTCCGACCATCAGAGCACAAGAGACAAGACAGGTGAGGCTCACTGATCCATGTATCTCTCCGCCTTTCAATTAAACTGCCCTTCAATTAATCCCACATGTGTTCATCGGCCAGGTTGACACAATAAACCTTAACAATCACAATCTACCCCTTGCCAACTTGGCATCTGTACCCAATTCTTTAGCCATACATATAATTTTCAAACAAACAATAACAAATTCATATCTGTACCTATTAGGATAAAACTAAAATGAATACAATTAAAAATGTCCCATCCTCATTTAAACATAACATTTTATAAGTGAACAAAACAAAAATATCCTATGCCTAACAATTGCGGTTAAGTAACACCTACACCGTAATCCTATAATCCTATGAGTATATTCATGGAAGTTTGTAAGCCATCTACTTCCTGCCTTTATCCCCCCAATTTTGAGTATCAAATTTCTATACTGCCCACTTACAACAACCCAGTGCTCTGAGGAGACAATTATATTCTTTGATGTGAAGAATCTTCATTCCAGTTGGAACTTTGTGAGCCTGCATCCATAAGCAAAGTCAAATCAGGACAGGCCATCTATAAAGTCTGCAGCAGTATACACCAGTTCACAGGCTCAAATAACTTCTCTTCATCTGGTCGGGTTCTGGCCAACTCAATGTGTGCTGTCTCACTTAGCCTCCCCAGGGTGCCCATTGGTTGCCTTGACTTTAGACCATGAGCTCGTCAACAAGCCTAACCCCCCTCATGCTAGGTCATAAACTTTAGATCAGTCAGCCCGCTCTTGTCTTCTCTTTTTCCTGTAAACCAAATCCACAGGTGTTAGTGGCCAGACTCAGCCCATCTCTTTATTGCTGCATTTCTTCCACTTCCCTGAGACAGCTAATACACTGGCAGTTCTTCAAATCTCGAGGGCTGCTGGGTGCAAGTCAAGGAAGCAGACAGCTGAGTCCTCTGTAGAGTAATTCAGGCAATCCAGCCACAGGCAAATAGCAAGGCAGGGCACCAACAGCCAGATGACAGGGTCCGACAGTCTCCAGCTCAAGTGATGTATACTCCAGTAGCGTGGCGAAGCAGGTCTTGAAGGAACCTCAAACTATAGCAACACGGTTCCATGGTTAGGTGTCCCACGGGTAGTGTAGCTTGCAAGTTGAGGCAAAGAACCAGCTAAGGCAGCCGCACATTGGTCCATTCATCAAAGAGCACGAGGCAAGAAAGGTGAGGCTTGCCGATCCATTTATCTCTCCACCCTTAAATTAATCCCACATGTGTTCATTGGCCAGGTTGGCACAATAAACCTGCCTATCACAGTATGTTAATGAAATCCTTTGATATTTGATGAATAAAAGTTTAACATTTTTTAATCAGGTCTTATTTAACCTTTATTTTGTCTTTTGCTCCTCATGCTTTTGGTGTAATATAAAACCTATTGTTTAAGAAATGGTTTCTCATGTCATATCCCTATATTTTGTTCATAGGATTTTAAGATTTTAGCTCTCACATTTTGTTCTCTGATTCATTTTTATATATGGTGTGAGGTATGGCTCTATTTTCATTCTTTGGTTTATTGAAATCCAATTGTCCTAGCATCATTTGTTGAAAAGACGCTTAACTCATTGAATTTACTTAACCTCCTTGTTGAAAATCAGTTCACCATAGATGCATGAGTTTATTTCTAGACTCTTACATCTATTTTATTTTTCTTTATGCCTATTATTATACCAAGTATGAGTTCTCTTAGGTTATTGAGGTTTTTTTGTTTGAATTGCTTTGGCTATTTGGAGAAGTCTAGGTAGTACAGTGTCTACATACTTGGCTTTGAACCCAAAGGTTGACTGTTGTGCCCACCAACTGCTATACAGGAGAAAGATGGGTCAGTCTGCTGTAAAGATTAAAACCTTTTGCAGCAGTGCTGCTCTGTTTTATTGAACACGGAGTTAGAATAGACTCAACAGCAATGGGTTTGATTAATGAGTGGGTAAACATCTTCAGAGTAGGATTTGTGGGTTGCGTGGTCCAAACCTATTGCTACTGAGTTGATTCCAGCTCATAGTGACTCTCTATAGCAGTGGTTCTCAACCTTCCTAATGCCGTGACCCTTTAATACAGTTCCTCATGTGGTGGTGACTCCCCAACCATAAAGTTATTTTCATTGCTACTTCATAACTGTAATTTTGCTACTGTTATGAATTGGGCAACCCCTGTGAAAGGGTCGTTTGACCCCCAAAGGGGTTGCAACCCACAGGTTGAGAACTGCTAATCTATAGGGTTTCCAAAGCTGTAAATCTTTATGTGAACATGTAACACCTTTCTGCTGTAGAGTGGCTAGTGAGTTTGAACCCTGACCCTGCAATTAGCAGCCTAACATTTACTGTAAAGGGCCTCCAAGGAGGCTCCTTAAAAGTTGCAAAGTAAAACCAAACCAAACTCATTACCATCAAGTTGATTCCAACTTTTAAAGCTTGCTAAACTTTATAACACACTGCCAAACTTTCTAAAAACAGGTTTATCATTCTGCATTACCACCAAATATATGAGAGTAGCTACACATCTTTGTGAGCATTTGACCTTGTTATATACATCAAATTTTTTTTTAACAGGTGATGGGCGGTAGTAATATTGTAGTTTCAAATTTCATTTCTGGAATATCTAATGATGACTATCTTTCTCATCTGCTGCTTCCCATCTCTTTCTTCTTTGATGAAATGTGTCTTTAAATCTTGCTTACTTTTGTAATTGGGTTGCTTCTTTTCCCTAATTAATTGCATTTTGAGAGTTTATAATAGATTTAGTGTAGAACTCCTCTTTTAGATATGTGTTTTGCAGATTTTTCTGCATTCTGTGACTTGTATGTATTATTTTCTTAACTGCCTTTTAGAGAGCATTTTTATTTTTATTTTGAGGAAGTTCTCTTTACCACTTTGCTTCTGTGAATCATTTCTTTGGTATTTCATGTAAGAAATCTGATCTTTTGAAGATTTTATTCCAGAAATTTTATAGTTCTATGCTTTACGTATAAGTCTATGTTCCATTTTCTATGAATTTTTATATATGGTGCAAGAAGTATTTCTTTGTTGTGTATATATCCAATCATTTCAGCACTATTGAGAATTATACTAATACTCACATTCAGTTACCATTGGAACTTGATTAAATATCAGTTGATGATAGCATCTTGGCAAGAACTACTTCATGCTTGCTCTCCTGTCCTGTTCCCAACATGGTAGACAAAGCTGGAACTGCTGAGATCCAGTAGGGGCCAGACTAACTTAATGCAACCGCATCAAGGACCAAAGATTCACAGGTGGCCATCGCCGTTTTCTAATGGAGGTGGCTGGTAGATCTGATCTTTGGCCCAGACCCAGCCATGATTCTAATAATTGAGCAAAGGATTTAGATCCTGTGGACTGTGTATCTGGTAGACTCCATATCATTTAATGTTTTGTTTTCTATCTCTTTTGAGTGATTCCCTTAGATAAACTTTACTATTAGTAATTTTCTTTTCATCTGTGTCTAATTGGTTTCTAATGATTGTGACTCCTCCAAATAAGATTTATCGTCACATAAAATACCCAAATGTTGATGTATCCTACTAGATGATTTTTTTTCCTCCTTTTTGATGAATTTTGGCTAAGGTTTACCTGTGTGGCTGTCACCTAGATCAAGATTTCTGTCACCCTCAGGATGTTTCCAATCTTCCAGTCAATTTTAAGCTATCAGCCAGATTTGCAAATTAGTTACACATTTTTACACTACTAGCACTGTGTAAAAGGTCAGATACCTTACTTTCGTTAAAATGCTTTGTTGATCAATATTTTAGATTTTTAACTCTTTGTTGTGTGTTTTCTGCATTTTAACTTTGCTTTTGCTTTAGCAGTTAGGCTCTCTCATTTCTGTGCGCTCTATTTCTCTCCCCAAATCTGTCTGAAAGTCTTTTGTTGTATATTCATCTCACGGAACCTCTTTTATTTCTTGAGGGAGTAGTCTGCTAGTGAGTTTGAACTGATGCACTTTATAGTTACGCAGTGCAGTGTTTACCCAATAGCACCACCAAGACCCTTCTCTTTAAAAATAAGTGTACAATTATTTTTTCAAGAAATCAGGTTGTGAAAATTTTTTGGAATTAACCATGATTAATAGGTATGTGTGTTTGAATTTGACAAATCTAAGTTTTAGGAAAACTGTGTGTGTGTGTGTGTGTGTATATATGACAATGCTTTTGAAGTTTTTTTTTAAACTATCTTTTCAAGAAGTGCTTCAAATTTATATAATTTCATGAAATTTAAAGTTTTATACATCTTTTATCATATCATAAAAAGTCTAATAAATTGTGTTTTAATTTTTGTCTTTTGTACTAGGCAATCCTTTATCACAGGATATTCTGAACTTATACCAGGACCCAGATGGAACCCGAAAGCTACTGAACTTCATGCTTGACAATCTTGCAGGTAATCATTAATGACAAAGCAGAGAGTTGTACAGAGATGGTAGTTAGCTAACATGCTGCTTAAGAGCAACTGACGATTTTATATAAAGACCTTACAGGTCTGGTGTGCCCAAGAAACTATGACTTTCTTTTTATATATGGAGTACTTTCTATTTACTAAGCAATATGTTAGAAGTTTCAGGTACATTATCTGGTTCAATTTTCCCAACAATCTTAGGAGATTTAAAAAAATAATTTTATTGGGGTCTCATACAACTCTTATCACAATCCATACATACATCAATTGTACAAAGCACATTTGTACATTCGTTACCCTCATCATTCTCAAAACATTTGCTCTCCATGTAAGCCCCTGGCATCAGCTCCTCCTTTTTCCCCTCTCGCTC